CTTGCAGAAGAAATTGAACGCTTGTACACATAACTTTCATCATCAAATGATCAACTTGAGGCGCCCAAGTCTTAAGGGCGGTTAAAAATGGGGTGTCTACAGACAGCCCAACACGATTTTATGCTGATGAATCAAACAACGGTGGAGCCCAAGGCTAGCACGATTCCTGAACCTTGAACGACAGTTGGTGCGAGCGGTGACGAACTGGCCAATGGGTCAGAAGAGGTAACAATGATGAGGTCCTTGATCTGATTTTTTTTCACCATTTCTTCTTCCTTAGCTAAACGGATTAAGGAAACGTCTAGAAGGGTTGGATCTGGCAGAGGAGAAGGTTCTGATAAGCAATCTGTGACTTTACTTTTCTACTTTGCTAAATGCCGGTAGCTCGGCACATAACCGAGAAGATTGTGGCAACTGTGTTTTTTGTATCTTAGCACAGTTCTCACTGTGTCTTCATTAGGATAAGGACACAGCGCTTGTAGCTTGGCGATACCTGCAAAAGAAAATTTGTTAGTTCAGAAAAACAAGCTCAAATAAGTTAACTGGTTGAAGTTCAACTTACTTGTTGAGCCTTTATTTTTACTTATGTACCAACCTGGTACATCAGCGGTCTCATAGTTATCTGTCACCCAAAACAAATTGTTGTCATGCAAGTCTTTGTTCAATGTGCTGATCACCAAGCGTTCCCGGCCCGATCTTATTTTTAAGTACCAATTAAAACCATCAATTGTATGGCCGAACGTGTATGCAGTGCAGATATTCAGCAGGCTAAGTTTCAATCAGTGGCGGTTCAGTCGAACTCCATTTTAATCAATATCGTGTTAGTAGACACTTGTGTGGGGCACAACTTGGTCCGTCTATAGAACTCACAGATTAAGGGCTGAACCGAGAAGCGGCCCCCTTTTACTATGGACAACACAATGAAGAGGCAAACATCTTCTCTACCCCAAGGAAGGATTCTTTCCTTGCCGAGTTCAAAACGTGCGTTGGTTGAAACGTCGTAATCTTTGCAGAACTTAGCCATTCCGTCTGGCGTGTCTACCAGGAAACGATAGCGCCCCATAGAGCTCAGTTTGATTTGCTCGGCGAAATGTGTTGGCCTAGTTATGAACAGCGACTACTCCGCCTTTGAGAGCATTTATGTTGGTGTTCTTGGTCTCCTAAGATTCTGCATGGTGGAAAACAAAAGTTAAGTGCAAAGTGATAGCGCGGTTGCGCAGGCGAGCTGGGTTTGAGCTTGGCTTTGTAGGTGAGTGATTTTAGCATAATTGCACTAGTAGGCGCTTGATTTTAGCTTAGTCGCACATATGAGGCGGGTATTGGCTCAATTGCGCATAACAGCTTGATTTTACCTTGGTTGTGCAGAAGGTAGGAATTTAGCCCGGTTGCGCAACTGAGCTAGGTTTTAGCTCAGTTGCACAACAATTAGGTTTTAGCTTAGTTTTATACGGTAGCATTGCAAACTCCTAATTTACTCGGCCCTAGTCAACTTTTAGATCAAAAAATTGAAATTTTGCCCGATTTAGCCCAGATCCTCCCATGTCCATCTTAAAAGATGAACAGTACGTTTAAGAATGAAGAATTAGGGTCACTTTTAACACTAAAGATGATGTGAAACCCTAGTTTACCAAGATTTTTTAATGGTTTGAGACGCTATTATTCTGTTTCGGAGGTAGATAACACAGTGGGGCCTCAAGAACATAAAGAACAATAAGGAATACTTGTGGATGTGAAAAATGTATGGATCAGAGCTCCAATCAACGCCCCAATCGGTGGAAGGTAATGCTTCGATTTGGGCACAAAATGCGAAAAATCGAAGGTAAGTGATCTGGTTCACTGGGTTTCCCATCTGAGAAGATGATGAACAGTGAAGACAAAAGGGTATGAGCAGTGGCTATATATGTATAAAAAAGGCGCCATGATTTGTTTGGGGAAGAGTACACGATAACTGGATTGCTTGTAAGAGGCCATCGAGGAGCTACCACGTGTCTGCGAAGAGACGTGATGTCAAACGTTGGGGAAAGTGCCACTGAAGACGAATGGTTCGCGAACCGAGCAAAATTGGCAACCAAGCATGGAGTTTAGCTCGGCTAGGAGATGCAATTCCATTCACGCATGTGCAAATAGAATTAAGGGGCAATTGAGAGGGGGATTTATGCTGAATAAATGGGTTGAGCAGAAGTGGGTTTGGGTCGAGCAAAAGTTACTTTTGGCTGCTATCTCAAATCGCACAACCAAGCTAGAAGGATGGCTAAATGTTATTTAGACCAAGGATCAAGCTCGATCAAATTATGGCCACGCCTTCAACCGAGCTCAAGAATTGGACAGGATTCGTCTAAAATAAGCAGGGGTGAACCATGCTAAAGAACTGTTGAGGTCAACAATCCCGACCGGGCTACTTACATTGGCCACACACCAAAGCCAAACTGGGTTAACTTGTGCAAGTTGACATGGCCTGACCGGATTGGAAGTAACCAGCTGAGTGCCTCAGATCTAGGCTGGCTGGAAATAGTGAGGTTCCAAAGAGCGAACAACATTGCATTGTGCTGAGGGCAACTCGATAGGAAGTGCTATGTGGCCCAATCGGAATACAAAAAAGAGAACCCGCCATTTGTATGCTTCAATATCGTTTGGCTGTTTTGTCATTGTTGTTTGGTAGTAAGAGAGGATAATTCATCGACACGTCCAAGAAAAGCCGAGTAAGGTAGTGCACGCACAAACTATATAAACCCCACGGTGCCTCCATGCAACAGATCTTCAATCTTTTCTTATACAGAGCTATCTCTACTTTTGTCTTTTTTCTCTCTCTAAGAGTGCTAACTTGATCGTCGGAGGGGTTTTCTGACAACACACCCGCGGGGTAGTTCACTGTTGTCATGTTTCAACATCACTCAAAGTAACGGGAGGCTTGGACGAAAGGAGTACGAAAGTGAAGAATATTTGCTCCTCGTACAGATGCGAATTGGTTTGGCGGTTGGACTTTATTATTTTTTGACTTTTTTTTCGAACTATATTTTAGTAATTTAATTACTATTTTGCATTTAAAAAATTTTTTGATTGTTCATTTTTTTATTATAAAAACAAATGCCAAATTTTCATATTTCATAAATAACCAATATAATTACTAAATAAACGGTCATTTTTTTAATATACAAAACATAAAACATAGCTTTATTTTCTAAGGAGTGTTGGCAGATTGGGTTGGGTCAGGTGGCCTCACATTCACCATCCGTCTCAACCTAAGCGGATTGGAGAAAATGCATCCACATCCATATTCTTGGAATATTAAAACAGTTCATTTTGTGATGAATCGATTTGGACCATTTAGTTTTGACAAATCGAATGGAAGTTTGCCCACCCCTAAAAAGAGATATCGAGAGGGACCAAGGGATCACAGCAGCGTAATGTGGTGTCCCAGTGGGTGTTTTTCCCGAGTCTTTTTTTATTATCCAAACTATTCATATTATAAAGGGCATTGAGTAGATTATCCATATAAAAACTTAAATTGATTGAATATTTATAGCTCCATAACAAAAGTATATTTATCTTTTTTAAATAAAAATAATAATATGATCTTAATAATTTTTTTAAAATAATTAGAATCTAATCACGAGATTACAAATTTTTGAATAATTTAACTCGACGGACCTTATAATATGAATTATTCGTATTATAGAAAAAATTCTGTAAAAAGCGATCGAGACACTACAACACGCTGCTGTGACCCTTAGGATTCCCGAATCCATACATAGGGGAGAGGTATAGAAAGGAAGATAGTTGTCCTGTGACGCAGAGTTGTCTTTACACCCGCGTTTGCCGCTGAATTTGCAATTGGTCGCCGCGCTTATTGTGTGAGCATTGAGGCTACAACAGATAGATTTTATGCAAAGGTGCTTAGGATTTTAGGGTTTGGCCACTACACCCCATAGGCTTCTTGGCCGTTTCTGCTTTTGTCCAATTTTTTTTAAATAAAAAAAATAATATAATCTTAATAATTTTTTAAAAATAACTAGAATCTAATAACGAGATTACAAATTTTTGAATAATTTAACTCCACAGACTTTATAATATGAATTATTCGTATTATAGAAAAAATTCTGTAAAAAGCGATCGAGACACTACAACACGCTGCTGTGACCATTAGGATTCCCGAATCCATACATAGGGGAGAGGTATAGAAAGGAAGATAGTTGTCCTGTGACGCAGAGTTGTCTTTACACCCGCGTTTGCCGCTGAATTTGCAATTGGTCGCCGCGCTTATTGTGTGAGCATTGAGGCTACAACAGATAGATTTTATGCAAAGGTGCTTAGGATTTTAGGGTTTGGCCACTACACCCCATAGGCTTCTTGGCCGTTTCTGCTTTTGTCCAACTCCCTGTAAGAAAAAAAAAATGTTGGGTAGAATTGTTGAATTGAAAATTATATTTTCAGAATTCGTATTTTGAAAATTTACTTTAAAAATAAGTGTGCGGTGTAAATGTAAAATTTATAGGACGTAAGTAAAGTGTTCCCAAAATAAATGTGAGCTATAAACATATTTTTTTAATCGCTTTTTTAGATAATTTTTTTTAACTATGTAACATGATGAACAAATTAAAAAATTAGAAGCTCTACTTACCCAAAAATAAAATTTAGAAATCTACCTAGAATTTTAGTCCAAGGCCAAGAATTATTTATTATTAAGTCTATGGTGTGAGAAAGTTTTTAAAAAATTTATCCCGAATGATATATCAATAGTATATATTTAAAATTGTTGTGAGGTCACTTTTTGAGTATTTTGTAAATATTTTTTGAGTTTGTAATATTGCTTATTATTTATGGAATGACCTCCCCAACAAAATGATTAAATCTGCACCTTTGAGTTAAAGGTCTAGGCAACATTCTAATCATTTTTTCAGGGTTAATAAACTTCAAGTTAGAAAAATGCTACTAGCATTTTATTATGATTAAAAAGCAAAAGCGCTACAAGCCTCTAGTCTCTATCAGTACAAAAAGAATACAGTACAAAAATGAAACAACTAGTCCTTAAAAGGAGCCAAAACAACTACCACCACCACCTATCCACCACACACATCTCTGCCTCTCTCCCTCTCTTCTCTCAATTGCTCAAGCATGGAGAATCAACGCAATACTCTTCTTACTTGGGCTTACTACTGCCAGGGAAAGGTACAACTATCACTTCTTCTTCTTCTTCTTCTTCTTCTTCTTGTTTTTGAGTCCTCTGCTCTGCATTGGACTCTAATGGGGTTTGTTTGCTTTTTTTAGCTTAGCTATAGAAAATGGGCAACCATTTGTTTGCAAATTGAGAGCTAGTATTTGATGGGTATTCCCTAATTTGATGTTTACAGAGCATGGATGAGCTGAGGCAATCTCTGCTACTCGCAACTCTGGAGCTAGAAACAACTAGGCTGAAAGCTCAAGAAGAACTCAAAATGAGAGATGACCAATTGAACCACCTCAAAGATCTAGTCACTGAAGCCATCAGAGAGAGAGACGAAGCTCAAGACAAATGCCAGAGACTTGTCTTCGAGAGACTCTTATTCCAACAACAACAATTGCATCTCCAACAACAACAACAACAACAACAATTGCATCTACAACAACAACAACAGTGTCAACAAAATGCCCCACTCTCTGGAATTTCAAGCATTGAAGATGAACCCAGAAGAGGATTAGACTCCAACAATGGCTTTTCCTCTTCGGATTGCGAAGAAAGCATCGTTTCTTCGCCGGTGATCGACCCAATTCCACCTCCTACCCAATTACCACCGCCGATTGATGAATTGATAAATCCATTGGTTTCTGATAAGCCATTGCCGGAAAAGGGAAAGCTTTTGCAGGCAGTGATGAAAGCAGGGCCGCTCCTCCAGACTCTGCTTCTGGCAGGGCCGCTGCCGCAGTGGCGCCACCCACCGCCGCCAATTGACTCCTACCAGATCCCACCACCGCCAGTGGCCATCCCGGCACGGCCACCACAACAACTGATCCACCAAGACTCTTTCCTCAACATTGACAATTGTAGTAGAATTGATAGAAAAAGAGGACTCTGTGAAGGCTCTGTTTCTCCAACCGAGACTAAGTACGAAAGAGTTGTTCTTCATTGATTAGCTACTACCACTATTTACATGGTAATCCTACATATAGTTAGAGAGTTATATACCAACCATTTTATTTATACTGATATTTAAGCCTAGTGAGGATGATTGTAAGGGTTGGGTATGCAACTGATTATCTAGTACTTGTACACAGCTCTGTTTCCTTCTCTCTTTCTTTCTTCTTTTTTCTGTTTTTTGGCAGTGCTTTGGATGGAGATTTTGTTCCCTTGTGTTGGTTCACATTTGGGTTTTTTTCTTTGTGATGTGAATGGGGGATTGATTTCTCCAAGATAACTGTGAGATGTGGACTGTAGTTACTTTAATTTTATTTTATTTTTTTTGTGAGTGGAGAGAGAGAGAGAGAGAGGTGATGGGTTTGGAGTGAGGGAGTTGTTGAAGATGGGTATGGCCAACAAGTAGGTAATGGGAGCCCTACTTGTGGGGTATTTAAGTGGATCCCACAAATCAGAATCAGGATCTACTACTATTGTGATGTTTGTTTAATTATTTTCATCTTTAAATCTGATCTTTTATGTTTCTCAAATCATTTACCTCTTCTTTTCTGTATTTTAATTTACCTCTTTTGTATCTTCCCCCACTCGAGTCTTCTATACTCTGTGTAAAGTCCATATTTATGTTTTTTTTTTTTTTTTTTTTTTTTTTTTTTTTTTTACTTATTGTATCTAACAAGCAAGGCAAACAAGGATTGATTGTCCTGGTTACAAATTGCATAAAAGCTTCAAGGCAAAACAAATGGACCCATGTCAATGCAAATCAGTGTACCTAATCAGTGGCTTATTTGCTAATCATTTCGTTTTTAATTTTCAATTTATATTTATAAAAATTTTAAAAACTGTCATAAAATTTTGTTTTATAATTTTTTTTAATTTATAAATGATTGTCTCAGTTTATAAATTTGAAGAAAAAACATAAACTCAAAAAACGAGTTTACGTTAGTTTTTAAACATAAATTTAAAATTTTGGCTAATAATTTTTTTTTCAATTAATTGATTTTTCAAATAATTTTTTTTCAATTAATTATTTTTTTTAATTAATTTTTTTTTGAATTAATTTTTTTTCAATTATAATGCGTATGATTTCATTGTCATAAATAATAAAAAAATAAATATAAACAAACATTTTTTAGTTTATGTTTTTAAAATTTTTCAAATATTTTATTCAAACCAAACGAGTTTATAGTTTATGTTTTTCTAAAAATAAACAAAAATCAAATTATAAAATTTTTGTAAATATAAATCAAAAACATAACAATTACCAAACGCTATCAATATAAATGGATGTTTCAGTCAATTAACTATGAAAATTGGCAAGGGTTCGTGTAGTAATTATGAGTCAGATTTCTATATATATGTTTTATATACTAGTAGTTTGTACATGAACTGGTGGCTCACTTTTTTTAAGTAATGGAGGTTCATATTCAAAGTAAAGATATTTATTATTTTGTAATATTTAGTTGTGTCAAAAATAATGGTAACAAGACATAGTGTAGTAAAGAGATGACTTGAGATAATGACAGATGTATTATTATGTAATAAAGTGATGACTTGAAATAAATACAGATCTAATCTCATGAAATAGGACATGTGAATTCGATCAATCAAGGGGTGTCTAATTAATTCAACTTAAATTACATTTGTTTTGACTTACGAAATGTGTTTCAATACAAAAATACTAGAGGTTTTAAAAATTTTACCAAAATTTTTATCAAATGTCTCACATAGGTGTGGGACCCACATGGGATCCACATTGTGTGGTTCCCATACCCATATAAAATATTTGATAAAATTTTTAATAAAATATTTAGAGTCTCTAACATTACTCGTTTCAATATCTACCTTTCTTTAGTACGGGGAAAAGAAATGTGTTTTGTTTTGTACCATCTATTTTTTAGGACACATTTCTTGACTAAATGGCCATCTTTTTTGCAGCCTTCCTCCCAATTTGTACTGTACTTCACCCCCAAACAATAATATGTCCATGCATCCAATTTAGACCATTCATTACCATTTATTGTAAAAGGTAAATTACACGGACACTCTTACAAATTTGATCCAATTATGTCTCTTTTTAACATTTTAAAAATTATATTCTTACGCTTATAATTAATAGTCTCTTTTCATAAACTTCACGTTTATATAAAAAGTATCAACTTCTAATAGAAAAATAAGTAAAATTATATTTTAAAAAAAAAAGTAAAGTAAAGGAAAAGAAAGAATAAATAAATAAAAATAAAAGAAGTAAAATAAATCAAGAAAAGAGAGAGTGCAAAAGTTCAATATTTTTATTTTATCTAAATAATTACAATAACAGAAATTTAGTATAATTTTTCAAACGTCATAAGGTGATATATATTAAACTTAAACTTCAAAAAGTGTAAGTATAATTTACCTACATTAAGATATATTTGAAACACAAAACAACCTAATTCTACTTCTAACACAACAACTTCACAATTTTAAAATATTAAAAAAATAATAGACGTTCCCACAGTCCTAGTTGCCACCTTCCTCTTTGCTAACACCAACCTCTGAAATCGACGGACCAGGATCAACATCACTAGATTCATCACCACCTCTGCGTACATCAATCTCTGACAAACTCAGACGACCTCTGCGTTCATGAATGACTGAACCACTTTCTCCAAAACCTCCTAACAACAAATCTTTTCGCCTCTCCGGTAAACAAACAGACTTAGTCCGTGTCAGAATCGGAATGGCCTTCGTTGGAGGACAATGCCAGACATCAACATTATCATTAGTATATTTTTTAGATAACACAACAATAGAGGGGGCCCTCATTTGCGAATCGTCTGGCATGTCACTTGTAGAATACTTCAGATACCCCTTCATTTTACAATACGTAACCCCCCTTTTAATATTGGAATTTTCAAGTCGATACTTCACCATCCATGGCACCTGTTTGTCGTTAATTGAACAATAACCATTCCCATAATAGACTAACTCGCATTGACAATCTACTGGGAAAATAAACCATGCCTGCAAACTGTCAGAGGGCAAAAAAGAAGTTGATCGTAGAGGATCAATTGTTATGGATGCAGCAGAATTTTCTAATGTTTTACGAAATGTAATCATCAGTTACAGCTGTCTATATATCTGGGTCCAGCCTCAGATGTATTTTTATTTTTAATGTTCAGGTTAATGGAGGTGGACGATATAAAAACTGGGGTTGTTGAAGGTGTTTCGGCAAGTGATTTCAGTTGTATTGAACTTGCGTTGCCTAATTTATTTTCTCAATTGAGGTTAAGATACAAACAAAAAAGTATTAAGGTTGATAAAATATTGATAAAATATTCCCCCCTTTGCGCACCCAATGCTAGTGGGTTGGTCAGAGTAAATGTTTATGATCGGAGGTTAGACGGTAATGACAGTTTGCAGGCATGGAAGGAATGTGTACTCTGGCGGGAGGGACGAAGGGTGACAGCTTTGTAGCGGTTGTCCCACGGAGGTCGCACCATCAAAAAGGTCGTAATGCTGCCTTCGTGCCTGGCTATGCACGTGCCATTGTACAAGGACATGGCAAGGTTGAGCTCTACTCCTTTCTCCTTCGAGATAAAGACCACATCACTCTCCGCTAGCTTCTACCAGCCTAAGTTTATGCTCTATGATGGATAAACTGACCCATACATGCACGTGAGCCACTTCCAGCAGGTCATGGCTGGCTACAGGCGAAACGACGCACTTATGTGTCTTATTTTCTCATCAAGTTTGGGTGTCTCTTTATGCTTTTTA